AAAAAAAAAAAAAAAAATTAAAAAAATTAGCTGGAGGAGGTGGGGCATGTCTGTAGATCTAGTTACTCAGGTGGCTGAGGTGGAGGAGTGGTTTGAGCCCAGGAGTTTGAGGCTGCTGTGAGCTGAGATCGTACCACTCCACTTCAACCCAAGTGACAGAACAAGACCCTGTCACTACTCCTCTGGCCGCCTTTCCTGCCACACTTTCATCCTGAGCAGAGGAAGGAGGTTGAAGATACAGAGTTGGGAGCAACTCTGCCACTCCCGAGCTGTGTGATGTCGGGGAGTTGCTAAACGCCTCTGTGACTCAGTTTCCTTATCTGCGAAGAGTGATGATGATGATACTTTACTGAGCTGTTGTAGATTTAAAGAAGTCCTAAGGACAATCTCCAGCACACACTAAGCCTGGGTGCATGCCAGTGGGTTTAAGTAACTTGATACCTTGAATCCTTAAACTTGACAAAACAAGTGAGTACAAGAAAGATTAGGGAAGAGGCTATTAGAATCGGGTTGTAAAGACACGTTTTTATGAACTCTATCTTCAGGAATGTTCAGGGCAGAATCTCCCTTTTCCCGTAAGAAAAATCTGAGAAAGAATTAAAGTCTCATGCGTGTGATTAGCATAGGATTGATTATCGATTTTGGTCAGTTTGAGTTTTTTTTTAAGTAAATGTCTTAACACAATAATTAAGTAAGCGAGGTAAAGGCTATGTTAACCAGTTTGATGTCAGCATTCCAAATTGTATATAAAATCTGCACATTGTACCCTATAAATGCATTAATGTATACAGTTATGATTTAATTTTTAAAAAGGGAAAAAAATTTTAAAAATATAAAACTCACTTTTTATTAGTCCCTGACTTTAAATACACATTCCCCTGGGTGAACCATTCTTGAACTCCAAAGGGAGCTTGAAGCTACTAGCTTGACTCACTCAGGAAGAAGTCACAGCACTGCCAAGAGCTGCTGACCGGGCTCGGGCTGTGCAGGTGAGGGCCCTGGTTGGTGCTCCTTGGCACACCCCTGCTATAAATCAACCCACGGCAGTCTGCCGCTTCCAGCTCCAGATTCCCCAGGGCCCATAGTCACCCAAGTAATCACTCTAACGTATTTGCTCTTTTCAAAGAACAGAAAACAAAGCGACTCTATCCTGGCAAAGGTCTTTTTTCTTGGTGTGATGCCTTCCCTTCCCAATTCTGATGAGCTGATTTTTTTTGTAAATGGAAAAAAGGTAAGTGTACAATGTGATGAATATGAATTTTTATACACAAGGGATAGAAACCAAGCCTTTTTCTTTTTACTATGTTGCCTTTTTTTATTCCTTTAACCTCTCTCTTCTGTCTTTTTTTGAGTCATATATAGTAGGTATGAACCAGCGTGTGGGTTGTTCATTCAAGTTTTGGAACAAAATTATTAAGGAGTATGAGGGCTTTTTTTTTTCTTTAATTTTCTTTTGAATCAGCAAAATCTCTTGTATTTGTTATATTATGATGGGAGTGAATTCTGGCAAGTGAATTCTGGCAGTTGGGCACTTCAGGACACAGACGCAGAAAACTCACATCCCTCCTTGATTTGGATATTAGCTCTGTGTGAGTCACCATCTGAACCAGCGCTATTTTAATCGAATATATATATAACATTGAGGATGTTGATAGCGAAGAACCTTCAGAGGGTCTTGTTTGGTCTTGATCAGTTCCATCGGGCTAAAGCCTGATGCTCCCCCTGCCTGGACCACAAAATAAGTGGGCCACTTCCCCCAGGACGGAAGGGAAGTGGCAACCCTAAGCTTAGCCTGTGATCGGTGTTCTCAGCCCTGTACTTTAATGAGAGAAACACATAAGTGAAAAGGGTAAGGTGCTTCAAAGCCAAAATGCAAATCTAAATGTTTGAGACAATTAGAGAAAAACTAGTAAAATAATACAGTAGGAAAATGTTTAAGAAATTTAATTTGTTGTAGTGTTTTTGCTTCTCAAGCCTCAGTTACACAGGATTATTGATGTTCTCTCTGAAGGAGGGAAAAAAGCTTCAATAGAAGCAAAAATTCTTGAGGATTTTGTCTGTCATGTAGCAAAAGAGTGTCATTTTTAGGAAACCTAAGGACTAATACAAAGTGAAAGAGAAAGAATAGAACAAAGAAAGCCTGGGATCAGTGACCTTGAGTGACCTATTTTTTATTTTTATTCTGTCTTCTAGTTCTTCCCCTCCAGAAGCATCTCTCGTGTGCATTTTAAATCTATGCTCTTCCCATCTCCTTCTATGTGGTTATTTAGAAACACAAATGTATCCTTAAAATATGGGCCATGTTTGTGTGGGCATGTGGGGGGGTCTTAATTTACATAGATTGCACTGTGATGTTTAAATCTTTTTGTTTCTTTCGTGACTCATCACTGGTCTGAGATCCATCCATGTCACTCTTTGAAAACCTGGCTCATTACCACTAAACACATAATTCTCCAAGACCTGCCTACCCTTTTCTTGCCTATCCAGTGCAGATACAATATTTCCAATTCCCCACTATCCCTAGAAACGCTGCAGTGAACATACTATTCAGTGTCTCCTCACCAACACCGGCAAGAGAATTTCCGTGTGAGATTACAGCCCAGTGATTTCATAGGTCCCGCCCGGAGACTTTCCAGAGCACCACACGTTCCATTTCCCCCAATTCATTGTACAACAGGTGCTGTTTCCTTGCCAATATGATGTGCCAGTGCTTGATACAATCAGACTTTGTAACTTTTGCTGATCTGATGGGTGTAAAGTGTTGTCTCATGGTTGATTTTATCTGCATCTCTGATTAGTCATGAGCTTGCTCCTCTTTCCATCTCCTTACTAAAAAGGGATTTATTTCTTCAGCACAGCATTTTTCATATGATTACTGAAACGCTTATTTTAAGTGGCTGGGAAATATTTATTTTAAGTCAGAATTGCAGTCGGCAGCCAACCTTGGATTAATTTCCTAAAGTCTAATCTTGCCTTTCTCCTTCTTCATTTGAAATCTTCCCATTATTTTGTGCTCTTTGGGCCTAAGGCTTTGTGGTGATTGAAGGGGTCTAAATCAGGTGTTGCACTGGTTGGGCTGCTGAAGCGATGAGGGAGTATTTCCTGTTGACCTAGAATGTTGCATCAGATAAATCAATATCAGTACTGCACAGTGTGGTGTCATCCCATCACGTCCCCCCAGTGTGGGGAGACAGGCAGAGGTGTAGTCATCCTGCCTTGCCCGTCATCATCCTCTACCCTCCATCTTGTTCTCACCTTGAAATAATTTCCACTGCCACACAATTGTGGTGTTAAAGGAAACCTAACTCTAATGCTCTGTTTCTGCAGTGCCACCATCCTTAGTCCCCGAGGCATATTAAGTCTTAGCATGGAGATGGGCTAAACTCTTCTCTGGTTGAGTAACTCTTCTGAGCACTTGAAAGGAAACTTGGAATTAGGAGGCATTTTATAAAGAAATAATATGGTTTGTTGCCTTTTTCTGAGGCCGTGAAAATACACTTTTAGCAGATGTCCTTTTGGGAGGGTGGGGGTTCAGTGTTGCTATTTGTCCAGGTGAGTTGCTCTCCCACTTGCCCTCCTAATCTCATCCGACTATACCCAGTAGAGAGACCACCTGCGTCCTTGCAGGGTCAGGCAGGACAGACGGCTTTCCCCTCCCATGCCAGCTGTGATCAAGTGGTAGTAGCAGCCTGGAGCTCAATAGGAGGGACAGGGCTATGATTCATGCTCCCTCCACTCTGTGTCACACACTGGCGCCTCCATTTCACTGGGCAGGGGACAAGAGTGGCTCCTTCACCATATTTGATTAGTGGCAGAGGTAGTGAAGCAAACACTTTATTTTGGGAAATTTCTGGTTCCCTTTTTTTATGATTTTCTATGACCATGAGTCAATTTTGGAATCTGGGCATCTGTTCCCTATCTGGGCCCTTTCCGTGTAAGTCTGAGAGAAAACAATCCAGAATTTATAATTGTCACATATATTGGGATGTTCACAGGCACTGAAATAATCTCCATTGTTTCTTCAAAATTCTAGTTCCAAGTATTAGGAAAGGTTTTCTTTGTTATTATTTTCCCTGTAAAGCCACAGCCTGCCAAAAACAGGCCCCCCAGAACAAGGGGTAGAGTTTCCATAACGGGTTGACATTCTCTTCTTAAAATCCCTCTCTCCTTTCCCAATGTAGGTAACAGAGAAGAATGCTGACCCTGAAGTCAATCTACTTTTCTACCTGAGAAAAGTCCGTATCCTTTTATTTCATTGTAATTGATCTGGATTGGGTGATAAAACAGTACAGCTGGGACTTGGTGAGAAAGTTTCTGTCATTGCCAAATGCCCTTGTGTCCCATTTGTGGAGTCTACTGAGAGTTCAGAGAATGAATCTAAATGTGATAGATTCATGTGCTATTTGCCATATATATATATATATTTTTTTTTTTTTTTAACCTGAGCAAAACCAAAAGAATCGCCCAGTAAACCATGAATGTGCTCACTTTGGAAATAACTTCACGACCCTTGAGCCCTATGGTCACCCTGATGGCACTTTCATATTCAGGGGTGTTAATGTAAAAACACCCAGCCAAACTTTTCTCAAACCAGATGTTCAGAGGTGCATTTCACTAACAATAGTGTCCCACAAGGACATATCACTAACTTGTCCTACACCTTTTAGCAATCCTTATCAGACAAAACAAAGCTTTATAAATATACCTCAAAATTCTTAAGTGTAACGAATGTACTCCCAGCTCTCCACCACGGGTCTTGGACCTTCCAGACCTTCAATATACTAATACCTTCAGCAAATAGTTATTCTAGAAGAATTTCTTGGCCAAGCACTCACACCTGTGATCTCAGCACTTTGAGAGGGTGAAACAGGAGGATTGCTTAAGGCCAAGAGTTCAAGACCAGTTTAAGCAAAATAGTGAGACCCCATCACTACAAAAAAAAAAAAATTTAAAAATTAGATGAGTGTGCTGTCATGCATCGGTAATCCCCACTACTCTGGATGCTAAGGCGGGAGGATCACTTGAGCCCAGGATTTTAAAACTGCAGTGAGCTATGATGGCACCACTGCATTCCAACCTGGGCGACAGAGCAAAGAGGAAAAAAGAACAACAAAGAATTTCTTGAGTTAGGGTGCAACCATGAAGGGATGTAGAGGGAGTGATGTGGCTGTGGTTACACAATTCTGTACATCAGATAACATGGCAGAGAGCCGCCCACATGCAGGCCAGTGCACGACGGGAGGCGAAGCCCAAATGGGCTCTGCCGGGTCCTTATCGGTGGGGCCTCAGTGTCAGTTTCCCCGTTCTGAGGTGTTGCAGCTGCATGGGATGTCAACAATCAGAGGAAGCTGGGGATGGACAGAGAGCCCTGTGTGCACTATTTTGGCAACTTCCTCTGAGAATATGTTTTACATACAGTAGAACCTCCATTGTTGACCTCCTCCCTCCACTGACCACCTCCTTAAGTTGACCACATTTTCTTAGACCTAGACAGCAGGCCTAGTTCTGTATGTTGACCAGTTTGTTAGAGGCCCTTGAGTGGTCAACTTACAGAGGTTCTATTGTATGTACTTATTGAGCACCTACAAAGTGCCAAGCCTGTCCCTGCTCCTTCATCTCCTTTCCAGACTCCACCTCTGGCTCCCCACACCCTTGCTGTCTGGTTTCTGACCCCTCATCTTACTGCCCTGCCCAGGACGGCCTC